CTCTTTCCTTTTAAAGGCATATTTTTGCACATTTCACTTCTGCTCACACTTCATTATCCAGAAGCCACCAGAAGACTGGGAGATAGTGTAGCTTGGTGGCCTGTAGTCTGTGCTGTATAAGAAGCTGAGGTCAAGTACTGGAGACAACGAATGGGCTCTGCCATATTCTGAGCTTAGTGAAATGGAGGTTGTTGAATTTAGACTAACATAGCTGACTGTTCAATTCTGATCTTTGTAGTAAGCCATTCTTCTACTTGTTTATATTAAAATTGTAATTCAGGGAGTTCCCTGGTGCTAGGTCTAGTGGTTAGGATTTGGTGATTTCATTGCTGTGGTCTGGGTTCAATCCCTGGTTGAGGAACTGAGATCCCGCAAAAATAAAACCAGGTAAAAAGTGATTTTCCCTATACAGACCTAAGAGAATATGGAAGGTTAATGCCTTAATGTTCCTTTATTCACTGGAATTCAATAAAATCTTCACATCCTTTCTCCATTCTGGCCAGTGAAATCAAGGTCTTAACAGGCCTACTTTTGCTTCTAATGCCAACTAGTGAAATTCCAGAGCCAAGGCTGAAAAATACACATCTTTATAATGAATAACACCAAAAGATAGAGATGAAGGAGATGACCCTCTACAGCAATAGAGGAAGAAATATGGTTCTGTTTCATAAAACTAGTTCAAAGAATCTGCTTTGAAGAAGCGTTAAGTTAAAACATTCATAAAAACATCAGTCTTGGTATTTTGTGCAATAGGAAAACTTGTCTGAATATTCATAATCTAGCAACTTCTTTTCTCCTCTGTCCTTGAAAGTATATTTTGAACAAAAAGATCTTGTAAGACTCTTAAGACTTTTGAAATTGAATTGTTACTATATACTGCAAAGATGACCTTGAAAGAAAACTTGTAATTCTGATTGGTTTTCTTCCTTGATAGTTTATTGCCTTCCTTGATAGTTTATTGTTATTATTTATTTATTGGTTATTAGCATATGTAATATGCTACAATTTACATGTCTGAACTACTAAACACCTAAAGACTTGTAACTTTGCTCTGTCAAATCAGAAGGGAATCAGTGGCGCATTTTCCTTTTCCCACACGTACAATGGTGAAAAAGAAATTCCTATCACACTAGTCAATTTCTTAGTTTAACAAAGACCAAGAGCCTTATGGCTAAATTAACAAGGGAAATTGCCATTCTTTTTTTTCTGTGAAAATTTAATATCTAATATCTTTATCTTTAGGAATTCATGAAATTAAAGTTATTTAATAGCGTATCTCTTTTTCCACATAGACTGCCCTTCATCCACGTGGGTTCAGTTCCAAGACAGTTGTTACATTTTTCTTCAAGAAGCCATCAAAGTAGAAAGCATAGAGGATGTCAGAAATCAGTGTACTGACCATGGTAAGGAGCTTTTTCTATTTTGTTTTTTCACAGATCAGTAAAGAGTGTTCACTAATTTCTTTAAAAAATAGTTTTGTCGTATCTCACTTTTACCTTGGTCCTTGTAATAAATGGACAGCTTTTATTCTGTAATACACAAGACACAAACAGTGGAATTGGGGTATACCCTTGAGCTGGAAGACAGTTGTTGGACCACACTGCCCAAAGCAGAGTGACAGAACCTTAGCAAGAGCAGGGTGTATTTAATGTAAGTACTCTGTGTGAGGCACTGTTCTTAAGCACATAATATACTTTAACTGGCTTTAATTATTACAGCAAACCTATCAGGTAGTAAATTATTAGCCTCCTTTTATCAAGAGAATAAAACTAGTTCAGTTATTTGTTAAAGGTCACACAGGAGATCATTGGCACAGCCAGGATTTAAACCAGGGACTGTCTGATTTTAGGACCAGCGTTCTTAATCACTCTTATTCTGCCCTGAAAGTACTGTTTCAGGCATGCAGTGGGGGCAGAAGTTAGATTACATGGGACTGTGACGTGAGATAGTGGTAAAGAAGCAAACCGTTAAATAAAAATGAAAAAAAGGCTATGTATTTGCTACATGATATGCTCAGTATTCTCTGGGAAATATTACTTCACATTTTGAAATCTTTTAAATAAAAATGTCATTTTAAAAAAGGTGTGCTTGGGTGCTCTTTATATATTTGGCTGTTTGGCCCAAAGTGCATCCTTGTTGTTAAGCCTCTTATTGTGATACTTGTCAGCTCAAACTAAAACGATGGTGTGAGTTAGCATGTTTTTCCACTGAGATATCTATGATGGTGAGATGAGAGTCCTTGATTATTTAAAGGTACTTTTTATTACTGTGTGAGATCTAAAAATCTCTTATTTCATTAAATTTTGTCTTAAGCATATTCATAACACCAGCATTTAAAAATGTGCTTTACTGGGACTTCCCTGGATGTCCAGTGGTTAAGACTCTGCGCTCCCAATGCCGGGGGCATGGGTTCCATCCCTGATTGGGGAACTAAGATCCCGCATGCCACAGGGCACGGCCAAAAAATACATAAATAAAAAATAAAAATAAAAATGCCCTTTATCTAAAAATCAAAATTTCTGACAACCCACCAATTAACATTTTGGAAGAATGTCAAATTGCTTTAATTAAAATCATATTCACTTATTATAGAAGGAATAAATGTAAGCATAGGAGTTTTAAATCCTAAGAAGTGCCACGTACTATACTCAGTACATATTGTTTTCCTTAGGAATAAATGTAGGCATAGCCGTTTTAAACCCTATGAAGTGCCATGTAATACTCAATACATATTTTCCTTACTTGCCAAATGGTGTTGAACATTGGCTCTTTGAAAACAAGACGTTTCCAACATGCTAATATGGTTTCACTCCAAGGAAATGGAATAATAGGAATTTTGCTGGTCTTCCAAGATTTTTATTTATATATATGTGTATGTACGTATGTACGTATGGCTGTGTTGGATCTCTGTTGCTGCGCGCGGGCTCTCTCTAGTTGCGGCAAGCAGGAGCCACTCTTCATTGCGGTGGCTTCTCTTGTTGCGGAACACGGGCTCCAGGCGCACGGGCTTCAGTAGTTGTGGCGCACGGGCTCAGTAGTTGCGGCTCGCGGGCTCTAGAGCGCAGGCTCAGTAGTTGTGGTGCACGGGCTTAGTTGCTCCGCGGCATGTGGGATCTTCCTGGGCCAGGGCTTGAACCCATGTCCCCTGCATTGGCAGGTGAATTCTTAACCACTGCACCACCAGGGAAGTCCACAAGATTTTTTTTAAAGGGTGTTTCCCCAACAACTATTTTCTCTCTTTTTAAAAAACCATTTATGGGGGCTTCCCTGGTGGTGCAGTGGTTGAGAGTCCGCCTGCCGATGCAGGGGACACGGGTTCGTGCCCCGGTCCGGGAAGATCCCACATGCTGCGGAGCGGCTGGGCCCATGAGCCATGGCCGCTGAGCCTGTGCGTCCGGAGCCTGTGCCCCGCAACGGGAGAGGCCACAATAGTGAGAGGCCCGCGTACCGCCAAAAAAATAAATAAATAAAAAAAATAAAAAACCATTTATGTCAGGTATACTTGGACATAAACACAGATTTCAATAAACAAATTACATTGGAGGCTCAGAGCCAAGAAAAGACATGTTCCTGTACTCCTGTTAGCTTGTATGAACCACAAGGTCAGATTTCGTCGTCCAGCTTTAATACTTAACTTCAGCAGCTAAGCAACTGCATACTCTACAGAGGCATAGTTAATATTTGTTGACTGACTTCCTCTACAACTAAACTGTAGTTAATTGTATTTGCTAATTTTTTTTTTTTTTAGAAAAAGAAGCAAAATGAAATTGAAAACACCCAGCAACTTTAAGGCCTAATTTTTGATTATTTGAAGTCCATTAACTCTACTTGTTCAAGTAGAGTAGCCGCTTAGGAATTTTAAATCGTTGTATATAAATTTGCTTATAAAGTTTATCTTGTGTCTAAAGAAAAATGTCTTTTTTCCCAGTTAAATATTTATAAATTCAGTTTGTCTTACTGATCTGATTTTTTTTAAATTTCTCATACATTTCTGATAATCTCATCATTTATTTGATCATCCTCTACATTTGCTTCCACTCTGGAAATATCCGTCTCATTGATGAATCAGAAAATTAGCAAAAATTGGTTAATATTACCATTACTTCTTTTGGCTAGGGTAGTGTTTTGGTTTAGAACAGTAGGTGGACATGAATTCAGTGTTTGCTAAATATGGAGAAGGAAAAGCATAAGGAATACTAGGACATTTACATTTGGATTTATAAAATCTTCACAGGTATACAAAATCCTATCTTAAACCTATAATTAGGGGTATAGAAAATAGGTGACTTGTTACCTTTTGGACTGCTGAGAGCTATATTTAGAAATGTTCCCAGTGCTTTGTGGTAATTTACTTGATGTTACTTGTACTTATTTTGGGTACTGTTACTGTTCATCTAGGAAAATAATTGTGAGAGGCTAAAATTTTTCTTATTTTGCAACATTTACCTTTGATTTAGATATTTACATTATAATAGAACAAATAAATATTTCCAGTCTTTCCTTTTTGTGATCTGTGTATGAGCTATGTCACTAGCCATAAAAAGAATTAAAGACCCAAATTACATCTCAGCAGGTAGCATCACTGGTAATGCATTGTAAAAAAAAAATTCGCTTGAGCACATGTGTTCTTCAGGGATTTATGCTATCATTTGTTAAAGAAAATTAAAGTGTGTCTTTTTTCCTGACATATTAATTTAAGTTTATACAGTATTTACTTAAATTGCAATGTTAAAAATCATTCAAGTTCCATTGGCTGACACAGGTCAGAGAAGGGAATGAAAATCTCATCTCTGAACACCTAAGCCTAAATTATAACCTATTTAAATATTTCCCTTGAGGATTTTTCTAAAATGGCATTTTGGTTACACTTCACAACTAAGTACAAGTAAGTACGAGGGTAAAACAGATTAAAAGTCTGTATGACATTTAACAGGAGGTGATAGCAGCTAGAACTGGTAAGAAAACCATAATAGAATTTTTGAAAATGGAGCTATGACTGAGAGAGAGAACCTTGCTGAATTCTAACTTTGGATTAAAGTATTAAGTATTTTAGAGGCTTCCCTGGTGGCGCAGTGGTTGAGAGTCCGCCTGCTGGTGCAGGGGACGCAGGTTCGTGCCCCGGTCCGGGAGAATCCCACATGCCGCGGAGCAGCTGGGCCCGTGTGCCATGGCCGCTGGGCCTGCACGTCCGGAGCCTGTGCTCCACAACGGGAGGGGCCGCGGCAGTGAGAGGCCCGCGTACGACGGAAAAAAAAAAAAAAAAAAAGTATTAAGTATTTTAAAGGTCAGTCTTAGTTTTTCTTTTCTTTTAAAAGTTCTTAATTACACGATCAGTGCACAGTCGCTATATAGAAAAGCACATATGCAAATATTTTAAAAATAAAATTACCCTAAATTGTACCGTCCTAAGGAAATGTAATGACTATTAACATTTTGGTGAGTATCCTTCTAGACTTCCAACCCCTCAGGCAGATATATTTTAATAAATATTTGATATATATATGTATATATACATATATATGTGTATACATGTATATACTATATGTACATATATCATATTTCCATAATCTACATTTTCCCTTAAAAATATTTTTCCATGGCAGTAAATATAGAATGCATATTTCCTAATAACTGTACACTATTTCTCTACATAGATATGCCGTAATTGATTTAATCCTCTAATATTGGTTATTAAATTATTTCCAATCTTCCAGTGTTGTAAATCTGATGATCATCAGTGATTGTGCCTATTTGAGCAGAGCCAATGATTGCCTTGCATACATCTTGCCAAATTGTCTCCAAAAAGGTTTTACTAATTTTTACTCCAACTAACCACTTATGAGTTCCTATTTTTCTACACCCTAAGCCAGCACTGTTTAATTGGCACGTCTGAAACTCTTATTTTCATTCTTTTACCAGTGAAATTGCATTTTTCACACACTTCTTGTGTTACGTTTCCTTTCGTGAGGGTGAATTGTCTTTTTTTTTTTTTAATTGAAGTATAGTCGATGTACAATACTAAGTAAGTTACAAATTGAACAATATAGTGATTCACAATTTTTAAAGGTTTTACTCCATCTTTGGTTACTATATAATATTGGCTATATTCCAGTGTTGTACAGTATATCCTTGTAGCTTATTTTATGCATAATAGTACCTCTTAATCCCCACCCCTATGTTGCCCCCTTCCCCCATCCCTCTTGCCACTGGTAAGCACTAGTTTGTTTTCTATACGTGTCTACTGCCTTTTTAACAGTCTGAGACCAATTTTTTTTTTTTCTTCTATTAAGGTGTTTGCCTGTTCTTTTTTATTCATAACAGAGCTTTAGTCTGCCCAGTTTGATTTTCTTCTTTAACAGTATGCTTTGTTTGGGGGGAGATTTTAGGTCCTGTAGTTTTCTTTTCCCCTGTAGTTAAATTTATTTTTTAAGCCTCTTTTAAAAGATGTGAAAGTAATTGCCTAATACAAATTTTTCTTACCACGTCATGACCTAATGGTTCTTTCTTGTCTCCATATATCTGTTAATTACCAAAAAGTTACTGATTTTAGAGTGATGTCATAAATACAATGGCCTATTATTTGTTTCCTCTAATTTCGCAGTGTGTTCCCTGGATCAGCAGCATCAGTGTCATCTGGGAACCGGTTAGGAATGTAAATTCTCAGGCCCCATGTTACTCCAGCTAAATCAGAAGCTCTGGGTGTAGGAGCCAACGCTGTTTTAACAAGCCCTCCATGTGATTCTGGTGCACACTAAAGTTGGAGAGCCACTGATCCAAGGCAATATTCTCAAGTTTTCGGAAGTTTTTGTTAAGTCAGGATGATTTTGGAAGAATGTAATTTAATAATAGGAAAGACTTCCTCATCTCTCCATGTAGTACCTGGATTAGTTGTAGTACCCAAAGCTTCCCAGATAACTTTAAAAATGTTTAGGATCAATTTTCCTTGGAAAATTTTGAAAATTTTAACTTCTAAAATTACTGAGACTGGAAAGTCATGTTTCTTAGAAACATTTTGATGTTTATTTCTCATTTAGCTGAGTACAGCTGAAAGGATGTATTTTTCCCAGGGGTTAGATGTACCTTCCCCACCAGATTTCTGGTTGCTATAAGCTATGATGTCATCATTCATTCTTCACTTGCAAAAACATGCAATATCATGAGAGAAACTAACTCCATTAGCGTTTTCTCCTAAGTATTACCCAGTTAAGACAGTGGAATGATTTTTTTTAATTTGCAAGAGAATCGTTGTTGGGTTAAGAAATAAGATTAAATATATCTGGGAAAAGTGAAGTTATTGCTAATATTTTATAGGCTGCTATGAAGCTTATAGATTGAAAGGCTAAAAAATGTGAGACATAAAATATATGTGGCTGCTGCTCTTTACTCAAACCAGGTGAGACAGTACCAGGAAATATCAGCTATCCAATGAGAACAAGGACCAAGGACCTCCTTTATCACTTTCCCTAACCAGGACTTCCCCAAGGGCGACCACAGAGGAAAATACGGGAAGGCATAGGCTTCAGGCAGCAGGCACATGGTGGCCAGTTAAGTGAGGCAGGTCAGAGACCGCTTGTTACTTGAACTTCACTAGGTCTTGGGACTGTTCTGGCAAGTTGCCCTGGTAGTTTTCAGCTCTCCTCAGTGTGGTCAGAGCTACTCCTCCCTATAATTATGAACTGAGGGCAGGAGGGGCCATGATTGCTAGAGGAAGGGGTAGTGAAAAGTTGAGATGCAGGAAGTGTGTTCTGCTGCTCCAGCCTTCCCATGATGTTTTCTTTCTGTGTTCTTTACGAGATTACTAACCCTAAGTGAATGAAATAAAAAGTATGATTCTGTTCAGTTTATCACATTATCATTTTACTTTTCTCATGAGTATATTGTCTCTTCAGAAATGTGCATGACATTTTCAAGCTTAATTTTTTAAAAGTATGTAAAATATAATGTATTATAATAATGTATAATTTGTATATACTTCATGTGATTTTCACTGATTTTGGGAACATGCTGATTTCTTCTCCCTAAAATAATTTCAGGAGCAGACATGATAAGCATACATAATGAAGAAGAAAATGCTTTTATACTGGATACTTTGCAAAAGCAATGGAAAGGCCCAGATGATATCCTATTAGGCATGTTTTTTGACACAGATGGTAAGTGATATTTATACTTAAATTGTTTCTTACATTTTTTTCTTAATGTTAGTAAAACTGATAACTTTTAGATTCTTCAGTTCTGTAGTTCGCTATTTCCTGTGGTTTCCAGGTATTGTATTTTCAGTATGTACCCATGTACCACAGCTTTCCCCTGAGCAGCTCAATGTGTGTCACATATGAAAGTTAAAGTTGATTCTTTCATCTGGATTAAAATATGGTTCTACGTGAGCCATGGCCGCTGAGCCTGCGCGTCCGGAGCCTGCGCTCCGCAATGGGAGAGGCCACAACAGTGAGAGGCCCGCGGGCCGCTAAAAAAAAAAAAAAAAAAAAATGGTTCTAGACTCAGTATTTCTATAGTATGGTAGGGTAATAAAAATTGGTACTAGTGTCAACAATAGGATAAAGATAGACAACTGTCAGGGTAATACTATGTAAATGTATTTATTGTCACTGTTGAAAATAGAAAGTACATAATCATTTTCAAAATGAAATGATATTACTAAGGTTACCATTAACATTTTTTTTTTTTTTTTTTTTTTTTTGCGGTCCGCGGGCCTCTCACTGTTGTGGCCTCTCCTGTTGCGGAGCACAGGCTCCGGACGCGCTCCGGACGCCCAGGCCCAGCTGCCATGGCTCACGGGCCCAGCCGCTCCACGGCACGCGGGATCCTCCCGGACCGGGGCACGAACCCGTGTCCCCCGCACCGGCAGGCGGACTCCCAACCACTGCGCCACCGGGGAAGCCCCCTACCATTAACATTTTAACTATTTTCTTGACTATTTCTTCATGAAAATTATATATATTTTTAAATCACAAATGGGATCTTCTTCAGAAGATCTTCTTCAGAACCTTTTGAACCAGGATATATTCCTCCTTCTAATTTAAATCCTACAATCAGAAGTTCAGACCAGACATATCTTAGTAACTTCCCACCTTTAAAACTAGACCCAGGAAATCCCCAGTGGTCCAGTGGTTAGGCCTCCATGCTTTCACTGCTGAGGGCCCGGGTTCGATCCCTGGTTAGGGAACTAAGATCCCACAAGCCATGAGGCGTGGCCAAAAAGTTTAAAAAAAATAAAGCTAGACTCTTTCTTTGACTTTCTTTTAACACATTTTACACTGTCATAATGTTAAAATTTTTCCTTAACTGACAGATGCCAGTTTCAAGTGGTTTGACAAGTCAAATATGACATTTGTTAAGTGGTCAGACCAAGAAGATGGCGAGGATCTAGTTGACACCTGTGCCTTTTTGCACACCAAGACAGGTGATTGGAAAAAAGGAAATTGTGAAGTTTCTTCTGTGGAAGGAACCCTTTGTAAAGCAGCTAGTAAGTATAATTGAAGGCCTTTTTCCATTCTAAGAGAGGTGGGGAAAACAGGGCTGGTTTTAAAATAATTTTCTTTGTGATATGTGCCTCAATATAAAGAGGAAGTAAGACTTCAGAAGATATTGGGTTGGTTTTTGCTCCCAAGACTCTTGGAAGTCAAATATGTAATCCTATTACATTTCAGAGGTAGGGCCAGATCATGTGAACCAGGCATACTTTTATTCTATCTGCCTATTCTTAGAGCTTCTAAGAAGTCAAAAATTTCTTATGTTGTTCAAAGGAATTATAATAGCCTCTTGGTGATTTGATTAAACAGTGGAAGTGGTGAAAAATAATCATGGCTGATTCCAGACTTCTAACGTTATCGTACAAAGAATTTGATTCAGTACAAGGACATCTTTGATTAGGCCAAGAAAAACTGCATCACAGTTTATAATTTACTCTGGATTAAAGTATAAGTTTTCTTCTCACACATCACAGTGCTTTCTAATGAACAAAATTATCCTGTCCCCAAATATTTTCATATTATTGTTAAACATTAGACAGTTCTTTTATGTTTTAGAAAGAATTGTTTTATTTAAATTTCAAAATACGATTTTGGGTTGCTTGAAACAAGACAGAAACAGCCATTTCCCGCATTGCATCCTTAATATTCCCCCCTTCTACTCCAACTGCAAACCAAAACTATACATCTGCCTCCGATTATTTCCTTTCTTTACATCTGGAACTACATACAATTTTGTTTTTTTTTAAACTCGCCTCAGCAGGGTTTTTGACTAATCAGTCACACTTTTATGGTAGTAGCATTTGACTTCCAATATTTGTTGGATTTTAGAAAGTTGGTTCTTTTCATATACTATGCCTCAGGGCACCATTATATAAGCCAAATTTTTAATTAAACTGTAACTTCAAAACATCAGAAATAGTGAGCAAGTCTGTACTACCAAGGTAAGGTCACAATTGTATACTTTTACTGTTTCTACAGACTTTCCAACCCAAATCCTCTTATTTCCCTCACTTCATCACACTGTCTTTTTCTTGAGTTCCCTTATTCTTTTTCCACCAACTGAGCTAATGAGTTTTTAACTCTCTGCATCCTTTTTTAAAAAAACTGAGTTCAAAACAGATAATACAGACACATGACCAAGCAACAGAAATATGGGTAATACTGAGCTATTAAAGGGTTCGTTTTAAACTACTTTGAAAGTGTTTAGAAGCATTCTTAGAATAAGGCATACTTAAATTAATTATGATTTTCTTTTGTATTCTAGTCCCATATGAAAAGAAATATTTATCAGGTAAGTATGGTCTTTTGTTAAATTTTTCTCACAAGAAAGAATATATTAAGATTCTAGCATATTAAAGTAGTACTGAGGACCTCTTTAATTATATGACAGTGTAAAGTAGAACAACTTTTGTAAGAATACAGAAAGACTTGACATTTTAAATATATCTGCAAGTTATGTATGAAATGAACATTTTTTTAAAACACCAAATTCTATCTCCTCATTGCTCCATTATCTGTTTTTGTGGGAAATGACTTCATCTTTTGTTAAAAATTTTTTTTCTTATAGTTGTAATTACAGTTCATGAAGAATCTGTCTTAGGACTTACTAAATGTATTTTTGGGGAAAGAAACAGGTAATATATTTACGTGGTTCCAAAAGCAAAACTGTACAAGGCAAACACTGAAAAATCTGTCTCCTCCCACTGTGCCTCCTTCCATCCTATTCTACCTGAACCCTTATTGGGCACTAATTCAGTTTCTTCTTTAAATGTCTAGTGTTTCTTTTGCCAACATAAACAAATTAAGAGATATGACTTACTTTTTAATTCACTAGTCTAAATATCTCTCCATATCATTACCTATAGATAAATCTTCACTCTTTTTTACAACTGTACACTCATCCATTGTATGGATACATTCGATTATTTACCAACTCCAGACCCCGACTGGGTTGTTTCCAAACATTTGCTATTATTACAGTGCTGCAAGGAATGAATCACCTTGCACAAAAACATGTTTATCTTAGATTAGATTCCCTGAAATATAACTGCTGTATTGAACATGAATATATAACTTTGATCAATACTGATAGTTTCAGAGAAATTGTACCATTTTGCATCCCCAAAAATAATGTATGAATGCCTGTTATGAAAGTTTTGCAAATTGTGTAGCAGTTTTTAACCTCCATATTTTTGATGTGTCATTAACTGAGGATAAAATGCACAATCTTAAATGTATACCTTGATGGTTGCTTATGTATATACCACTCAAATCGATAGAACATTTCCATCACACCACAAAATTCCCGCATGCCCCTCCCAATAAATGCCCACACTACCAGCATCCACCCCACAGGCAACCACTATCGATTTCTATCATCATAGGTTAGTTGTTTGTTCTTGAACTTCACATAAATGTAACTTTTTCAGTCAGAATTTTTTTGATTCATCAGTGCTGCACATATATATTGTACTTTTTTTTTTATTGCTGCATACTACTTTATAAACACACCATAATCTGTCCATTCTCCTGTCTATGGATATTTGATCATTATTAGTCTGGCATGAATGTGATCGCACTATGAACATTCTCATACTTTTTTTTTTGGACCTTTGTTCTTATTTTCCTTGAGAGTGAAACAGCCATAGGGTAGCTAATGTTTAGCATTATTAGAAATAAATAATTTTTCAAAGTGGCTGAACCATGTTAAAATTCCTGCTGACAAGTTCCATTTGCTCTACGTCCATCCGATGATGGTCTTGTCAGATTTTAGCCATTCAGATGGGTATGTAGAGTGATCTTATTATTATTTTTTTTGTGGTACGCGGGCCTCTCACTATTGTGGCCTCTCCCGTTGCGGAGCACAGGCTCTGGACGCGCAGGCTCAGCGGCCATGGCTCACGGGCCCAGCCGCTCCGCGGCATGTGGGATCTTCCCGGACCGGGGCACGAACCCGTGTCCCCTGCATCGGCAGGCGGACTCTCAACCACGGCGCCACCAGGGAAGTCCGAGTGATCTTAATTTCCCTGATGAAAAATGATGTTGAGCACCTTCACACATTTATTAGCCATTTGGATATCTTCTTTTATAAAATGCCTATTCTTTTGCCCTTATTTTTTCCTTAATATCATGATTACTCAGTTTGGAGCTTGCTATGACAGAAGAGGAGGAAAGGAGTGTTTATGGGTTCACTGGGTTCATGTATATATAGGAGAGTTAAATCCTCACTCTTCTATAAGATGAATATAACATCTAAAAAAAAAGCAAAGCACCACCTCACACTCATTAAGTTGGCTATCTATCAAAAAGAAAAAAGAAAGGGAAGAAAGGGAGAAAGAAAGGGAGAGAGAGAAAGAGAAAAAAAGAGAAAGGGAGGGAGGGAGGAATGAAAGAAAAAGAAAACAGAGGGACTTCCCGGTGGTCCAATGGTTAAAACTCTGTGCTTCCACTGCAGGGGGCACGGGTTTGATCCCTGGTTGGGGAACTAAGATCCCACATGCTGCACGGTGCAGCCAAAACCAAACCAAACCAAACCAAACCAAACCAAAAAAAAAGAAAACAGAAAATAACGAGTGTTGACAAGAATGTGGAGACCGTGGAACCTCTGCACTACTGATGGGAATGCAAAATGGTGCATCTGCTGTGGAAACAGTACAGGAGCTTCCCCAAAAATTTAGCATAGAATTACCATATGATCCAGTATATACCCAAAAGATGTGAAAACAGGGACTTGAACAGAATTTAAACAACCATGTTTATAGCAGTATTATTCTCAGCAGCCAGAAAGGTGGAATCAAATCAAGTGTCCATCTACAGATGAATGGGTAAGTAAAACATGGTATATACATACTATGAATATTATTCAGCCTTAAAAAGGCAATTCTGACACATGCTACAACATGCATGAACCTGGAGGACACTAGGCTAAGTGAAATAAGCCAGTCACAAAAGGACAAATACTGTATGGCTCTAATTATTTGAGGTACCTGGAGTAGTCAGCCTCGGAGACAGAAGGTAGAATGGTGGTTGCCAGGGGCTGGGGAGGGGGGGCGGTGATGGGGACTTAATGTTTAGTAATAGTTTTCAGGTTTGCAAGATGAAAGTTCTATAGTTGAATGGTTGTGACACAGCACAACAATGTAAATGTACTTAATGCTACTGAACTGCACACTTTAAAATGGTTAAGATGGTAAATTTTGTTATGCATATTTTACAATTAAAAAAATTTTCATCAGAGAACAGTATAAGCATGCATGGAGGCAAATAACAGAAGTAACAAGAGTGGCTGCTTTGAGGAATGGTAATTAAGGATGAGTAGTAGGGCAGGAGGAACACAGTATTTTCATTACATACCCTGTAGAACTATGAATTTTAAGCTATGCACATGTATACTTTGGATAACATAAAATGATATATGCAAATAGAAATATACGGTGAAACCTTCAGTGTGGATAATTTCCATTTTAGGATCTTAAAGTAGACTGGAGACCTGCAAAGTTTATCTCAAATTTTGAAGTATGGCAATTATTCAAGCTAAGAAATATAAATCTTGATAGGAATAAATGTGTGTAACTATTTTTCTAACCAATGTGAGAAATTCTCAAAATAGTGAAATATTATGTGATGAAACTATATTTGTGCTCCCCAAAAAGCAATACTATCAACTTGTGTATCCTGATTTCCCATATTTTCTTTTGTCTTTTCCTTTTCAGATAACCACATTTTAATATCAGCTTTGGTGATTGCTAGCACAGTAATTTTGACAGTTTTGGGAGCAGTCGTTTGGTTCCTGTACAAAAGAAGTTTGGATTCTGGTTTCACCACAGTTTTTTCAGCTGCACCCCAATCACCTTATAATGATGACTGTGTTTTAGTCGTTGCAGAGGAAAACGAATATGATATTCAATTCGACTAAGGTTCTGGAAATCTCAGATTAAGACATCAAATACCTTGACAATGATTCCAATGCAAGATTTTAATATAAAACCTAACAATGAAAATCATGGTTTTTATGATGTATTACCTAATTCCAGTAACGTTCACTACTCTCATGTAATCACCGACTGTGACAAAAAATAATCTTTAGGATTATAAGAACAAAGTTTTTAAAAAAGGAATAATCTTAGATATAATTTAATGGTTTTAACCACCTCCCCAAATGCACCTTTCATTTGAATGAAGGAAAGCTTAAAGCTCAAGTATTAATAGTAAATCAGGTTTAAAAAAAACCCAAAAAACCCAGTCTACTTGTTTTACCTCCTCCATCTTACCTCCCAGAGTTGAACCACCTTGGTTTATAGTTGAATTTAAAAAAAAAAGAAAACTTTGGCTTATCACTATAATTTTAGCAATCACTAGGCCTTTAGTAATTTCTATGGTCTTGCTCCTTTATCAATAAGATATGGAGAACAAACCTGATCTTAATATAGATTCTCTACATTTAGATATCACTTATGCTGGTTACTCTGATAATTCCTCTAATATTTCCATCTTCATGATTTACATGTAGAAAATTTTACAGATTTTTAACACCCCATATGCCATGTAATTATACAGTTTCAGTACTTTTAGAACACTGTTTTGGACCACAAACAAACAGTATTTAGCACTGATCATAAATGGTCAGAATTTCAGTAAGATTTTGTGAAACAAAAAAAAATTACAGCCATACCAGGAAGGTGTGGAGGAGGCTGGCATTGCGGGTAACTCTTGGGTCATAGTGTCCTTCAAGGATTTTTCTACCTCCATATCTGTTCCTATATATCTATCTCATGCTCCCCAAGCCTTGATGAAGTTTATCATTCAATGACATGAAACCTGTGTAAGCAATAACTGCAGAGAAAAACTAACTATCATGTTCAAAGTTTTCAGTATGTGTATTTTAAGACAATGGTGAAATAATCATTTGGCGGGTAAAAAATGAAAATGGAAGAAAGCTGAAACAATGATTTCTTTAGCAACTTAAAAACACAGTATTAGAAAAGATAATATATGTACTTCACATAAAATTGTATTTACTTTATGTAGAAACTTGAAAGTGCGAGGAAAGTAATCTCTCTCCCTAATGCATATCCCATCTATCATCTTATGGGAATACTTTTCATATGGATAGAGACACTATCTCTCAAGGTTGACCAGTGGCAACGAAGTCCTAGCTTGCGCCATCTGTTTCCACTGGCCACCATGAATCAGAAACATCCCTTGTCACAATTAATGGCAGATTTCTTAATAAGACATGAATAACTGCAAAGTGAATAATGTGACTATGTGATACTAAAAAACAAATTTTATACTAGGTGTTATTACAAAACAATTATGCTCTGTAAAAGCTTTGAGATTTTGTGTATTGATTGAGATGTCTATTTTATTACTGATAGAGTATTAATAGTGCTGCTAATCGTGAACATTAGACTAGAATTCCTTACTGCTTTTGCTACTCAAATTCTACCACTCCTTTAAGAACTGAGGCCAGCCATCTGTTCCTTAAAGCTTTGCAACTATCAATCACAGATCTTTACAGTATCTAATACAGTAGCCACTAGCCACATGTGTCTATTTAAATAAAGTTCATTTCCTCAACTGCACTAGCCATATTTCAAATGCTCAGATCACATGCAGTTAGGAGCTACCACGATGGGCAATGCAAATTGTAGAACATTTCCATTATCATAGAAAGTTTCAGTGGACAATGCTGCTCTAGAGTCTCCCCTTCCACTTCTACATAACTAATTTTCTTCAGTTCATTTCAATAACTTCTACCTAATAATGACAGCTCTACCAAAATGGCTGTTTTAACTGATTTAATTTTCCATGTTTGATTTTATTTTCAAACAAGTCCTTAAAGACCCCAGTAATGCAGTGCTAAATCTTAATTCTCTTTATTTATCTGAACATCTATAGTAGGCCCTTGTATCTATTTGGTGGTCAACAGATAACTGAATCATTCAAGTCTGTATTTATTTTTAATATTAACAGTAACATTAGCATGCCTGTTTATATTCAGAATGTATAAACTGCTTTCTTCAAACATCTTGGTTCTACCCAATAATGACAATGTAATTCTTATGTGTGGCAACTATTACTACTATCATTACTTTTAGCTACCATTTACTTTTAACTACATTTTCTTAGGAATTTGCAATCTTAAATTCTTAGGAACTTGAGTAGTATATGGTCTCTATTTTGTTCAGAATTTAAAAGTGATACCAATGAAAGATTTTTCTTACTCCCTCTAATTCACATTTACAGGGCATATGAAGCTAATACAATATTGAAATACTAAGTGGTACAAAGGAACTACAAAAATACTATAAAGCCCAAGCCACTGTCTGTATCTGTCATTTAGCAGTTAATATAGCAAAACCATAAATAAATTGTATGTACACCAATGGCATGTTTTCTACCATTTACTTAAAATTTTTAAATAAAAAATTTTGTGGGTTAAGACACTACATTTTCATGCTGAGTTCTATTAAAAGCATAAATGTTTCAAAGTCAAAGGATCCCTAAAGACCTGTAGAATAGATATTGATACTGACATCCTTAAATTTTGCATATCTGCTTTAAGAAAGGCAACGCAAAGATAACAGGCAGAAGTTGAACAAATGTTCTAGAAACAACAGGCAGAAGCTGAACAAATGTTTTACAAACAAACAATTATATTTCATATAAAATGGGATTTAAAATAAGATTCTTGGCTGTAAGGTTTGAAGGCTTCTTTGAGCACCAGTTTAGAAGGAAACATTTCAAACTATAAAGTAAATCAATCAGTATGCACTTTATTTCAAGCCGAAGTTTTACATTAGGACCAACAATCTGACTGAATGTGGGCAAACTGTTGATTCACATGTGAGAAATTACATGGTTTCTATTTAGGTTCTGAAAAAGTAGCTGGACAAAAGACTGACTTTAACCTGAAACCCGCCTGAAGGCATTTTTAAGTGTATCTTAAGGGTGTTGACAGAGAAAATATACAGTGTTATGGACATATACACAACTCAGGACCACAGTATGGTGAACAGTTAATGTTCATCTCTTCTCTAAAGGTAGTGAAAAATATTAAGTCATCAAATAAATGCTTAGAATTACCAAGGAACAGTTAAAAACGACCAGGATCCAAACAGGTTATTTATATCATATTTATCTATCAAGAAGTGACAACACTAAAAAACACATTGAAAACCAGTGTTTTAAACTCTGAATGTGGGATTTAAAAATATTTAACTTGAGACTGTAATAATATTTTTAACCAAATAGCATCTGACTGGCGATTCTGATATAATTTACAGCTGTGATATTCCTAAAAGGAATATCTACATACTATGGCCTATCAAATATAATCTGCATTTTGCACATCAATACAAAAATTCATCCATTTGTACACTTTATTTTTATATATTTTAAAAATTAGACTTCATTGCTAAGTGAATTTAGAATTCAAATTAAATTTGGAAACCTAATATAATGAATGCTCTTCTTAACTTTCTCCCCATTCTTCTTTTTTTTTAAACACTGGAAGCAAATGATTATGAAAATGAGACCGCAACTTAAGGCATTTTAAAAAGAAAAATAATTAGGTGCCATTTGGCAATTTATTCTAAAAGCATATTTTGTCCCACTTTTTTCACTAACGAGACTAAAACACCAACCTTTTTTCATAAATATAACTACAGTAATCACAACACAAAAAAGGGCTGTCAGCATTGCTTAGATATTTAAAACAAGGGTAATAACACTTTCCCCACTCATCTAAAAGAAAAATACTTTTAATTACCAGTTTATAAACATCAGATTCACTGGCCATGTTAAAAGGCCCAGCAGAATTTTAATTCAGCAACACTTGAGAATGAACATATATATACATGCATAATATGTGTGTGTGTGTGTATATATATTTTTTCATTCTATATATATATAGACAGTAAATGTATTCAATAGGTATTTCCCCAGAAAATTAATTCATACTTAATTGCCAGTTTTAATAAACACTGTTCACAGATCATCCATTTGTCTCATGAAGTTAGGCAATATCAAATGTTCTGTTATGGTCTCCATCTTCTTCAGAATCATCCTCTGAAGCTGTTGAAAGAAAACAGGATGATCAAGAATGATTTTAAGGGGGATGAGAATGGAAGTGTAAGTATGAAGCCAGAACAGCAATGACTTGTACGATAAAAAACCCAATGTAGTATATGCCAGGGTTAGGGCGGTCTGACTGTGGGTGAGGCCCATCTACAACGCTCCCACTCCCACACTTTTTTCTTCTGTTTTTATTAAAATGAAAATGTTTAAAAATGTGGTTCAAGAACATCTAAAAAGTTTCTGAGATCAATTTGTGTTCATAGTAGCTAATGAGGAATACACTAGAGAAAGTAAACTTAAGGCAAGTGCTCTCACACACCTGAGTAGAATCTGGCTTATTACTGCTGCATGTTTGATGTATCCGATGAGAATGAAAAAAAATGTACATAGAATAATAGGTTATACGTGTTCTTGAAATTTACATCAGAGCTATGTCTATACAATGCCAAGAAAAAGCTCTATTTAGTTAGTCAAAAAAGCTTTATATAGACACAGCCTAAGTTAATATAATTGGATTTAGTAAAAACCTTTTGTTGAGATTATTCCTATGCCTCCACGTTGTCAGAAATTTATCACTCTTGCAACATGTCCGACCTCAATTTATTTTAGAGTCATTAGTGGCTCAAGAGTTTAATATAAAACTTCCACGAACGTCTTTAAGAAGGACACAGTAAAGTACAAGACTATGTAACTGTCTGCATGTGAAGGAAAACAGAAGTTCACTAAACATCCTACCAGCATTTCCTCTATTATCAAGGGCAGAAAGGTTAAATGTACACTGTTCCTGTATTTAATACTGGACAATTTAAGGGCAACCAGCAAATGGAATCAACAAGAAAAAATTATGCAACACGTATAGATCAAACTTCAATCTCCATATATTTACCTTACAGAAATTTACAATCCATTTTAAATAAATATCAAGCATATACTTAGCTCATGAAGAGTAAATCCTATGTTTAACTTTTATGCAGTATCATGGAGAAATGTTAAACTAAAAAATAAAATAGCTTTTCAGAGAATTTCT